CTATTCCTTGTAATAAAGAAATACTAAAAAAAAAAGTCACGAATGCAGAAATGCATGAAAAATGAATTATCTTTCGAAATGCATTTTATAAAAGTAAATGAATAGAAAAAGATGAAGAAAATAATAAAAGAAATATTCAAGAGATGCTTGAACACAGAAAAAAATAAAAAGATACAGGTGTTTTGGAATATGAACAAGAAAAAAAAACCGATCCAAGAAAGAGAATCCGATCCATAGAAAAGAAAGAAAAGATAAAAAATAAAAATGATAAAAAATTGTGGTAAACACTAGGAAAGCGACGGATTGTAATTTATTCAAATATATTTTTTTTAAATAAATTATAATTATGCAAGCAATTTTAAAATTACAAAAATACAAAGAAATAAGATTATCTAATTTATATTTTTTATTGAGAATGATGATATTAATTTTTTTTTTAGTTATATAATTAAAGAATATAAAATAATATCAGAATAATAATTTTTTAAAAATTAAATATCAAAAATTGATCAAACACTGTGACGTATGATCTTATTGCATTTTCATACAGGAACAGCTGTTGAAATGAATTATAACAGATGCAATAAAGTAACACATGTATATCAAATGTAATATTTGTTAAGTAACACATGTATATCAATTGTAATATTTGTTAAGAAAATTGAACTTTTCAATTTGCATACGTATGTATATTAGAATGATATTAATGTAATAGAAATAAATATTAATATAATAGATAATAATAATTTAATATATAATATTTAATTTTTCAAAATTATTTTATCTATTTTTATTTATAAAGAAAATTTCTTTTAACTACAATTAATTGTTTCTAAACCAAAATAAAAAATTAATATTTCATTAATATAAATTTGAATTTGGAAAAATCAAATATTATATTAATTGTAATATAATGTATAATGAATTTATTATTTCCTTTTAACAGTTTAAATCTAACACCATTTAGTAAAGGAAACGTTCTTGAGAAACCATCAAAATGAAATTCTTCAAAATTTCTCTCTCCTAGAGTTTTACTTAGTCTAGAACTATTAAATAGTAGTAGGTCGAAAAAGTCTGGTTTCCACAACACATGTTAACTCTAGGGGATGTATTACTATTCTTTGAAGAAAATAAAAATAGAATTGGGAAATATGGCAAACATACAATATGGCAGTCATGCTTAATTTCTCAATATTTTAAACAAAATTTTATTCTTTATATTTCATTATTTTTTTTAATCAATCAGTTCTAGTTTTCCACATAAATAATCTTTATTTTTTATTAAATCTAATCTATTTTTTTTTTATATATATATGGAGTAGAGATTATGGTATATTATTTATTATTATATATATATAATATATTTATATATTATATATATATTATTTATATTAAATAAGATTTAGCGTAAAGTAAAACGATTGTATTTTGTTGTAGTTGTTTACAAGAATTACATATGCGTCCCTGGGCTTTGGCCAAAGTCTTTATTACCTTACTATTCTTATGCTGCACTTCTTATGCGATACTTAATGCTGGAATAAATTTTCTCTATGTAAATTAAAATAAAATGTACGAATTTAAAAAATCAAAAAAAAAAAAAAAAAAAAAAAAAAAAAAAAAAAAAAAAAAACAAAAAACATAAAGAAAAAATGAAAACCTGATTGTATTGTTGACAACTGAAGAGTTATTAGCAGATATTGAATTATTAAAATTTCTTTTACCTTCTTTTGCAAATAATATTTTTGAAGTCAAACGTTAACAGACAAATTTTTTTGAAACACATATTTATTAGTAAATAAATATAGCCTTGCAAATGAGATTATAATGAAATCATTTTATGAACTAAATTTTAATAAATTTTAACAGAAAATCGCATAAAAAAATTATAACCAAGAACTATATGAAATGTATATAAAATATTGAATAAATATTGTAAAACTATGACACACAATATTTTAAAATATTCTATTATTTGCTATGACTATATAAACAAAAAAATCTACTATTAATAAAATTAACTAGAATTATATAACAATATTATCTAAATAATACATAACTAAATTTACATTACATTAGATTGCAAAAAAATTAATTCTATAACTTAATTATTTTAAAATGTTCAATTCATGCTACTATAATATATTTTAAATTATTAAATTATATTAAGATAATTCTCAATATCAAACAAGTTAATATATAAAGAAAAAAAATTTTTGTAACTGTGATCTGAAATTTTGTTATATGAAAAAAATAAGTAAAACAATTCCTCTAATTGACTCAATATTATACCAGTGAAAGAATAGCGCGTATTATAGTTTGGCACGAATTTCGTGGCGACCTTCACCAATAAAAGGAGAAATTCGATTGTATCTCCTCGAACTGCATAACAAGCAATTTAATGCAATCTGACATTTCGTATTCTGAAACGCATGAACGCCCCAAGACAAGATCTTCAATCTTAACGGGATTTTGACTTATTTCAGATCAATCGATTTTTAAAAAATTAAAAATTATACATTATAATATTATACACATATCTTTTAGTAAAGATATACATTTTTTTCTTTACTAAGAAAAAATTTTATTAATTTCATAATTCATATAAAATTTAATATTTTAAAATTTAATATTATATATCATTAAACATTATATCTTTAAATATTTTTAACATGTTATTATTCAAGCAAAAATTAGCACACAAAATTAGTAAAAGATGTGATAAATAATAATTATGATATAATTAAATTAACCAAATGAACTTTGTAAATATTTTTTGATCTTAACTAATTATTATTTGAATATCAACTCAATATCAACTCAACATATCCAAATAAGAAAGTTTATAAAACTTTCGTTATATTTCTTATTATAAATACATATATATTATATATATGATGAATGTATTAAAAACTTTACTTAAATCGTTTCGTCTTCAATATTATCGAAGAAAATTATTCATAGTATATTAAATAATTTATTAAATATATTGCTTATTTTATCCTGTTTTTTTTCAAATATTATCTCTATATAAAAATTTAAAGAAAAATGTATTTTCAACAAATCACTAATTGATCTTGATCGGAAAAATTCAATGCAATTTTCTTATTTAAATTACTTTAAGAACGTTTAAAAAACAATAATTTTCTATACTTAACTTTTATATCAATTGCATTTTTTTTTTGAATAGTATTTTAAAGTTCTGAATAATTTTTATTACAACAATGTTCTTAAACGCAGATAGATAGATATTAATAAATGGTATAGAAGAATAGAAAGAAATATAAAAATTTATATAAAAAAATAATCGAAGATCAGTATCGATTAAGCATTATGTTCATATTACATAATATATAATGTTCATATTACATAATAATTTTGAAACAAATAGTTACTATTTAAAACAGACTACGAAATAATGTTTCTTCATGAACAGGGCTAATATACAATTGTTTTCTTTTTAAAATAGACATTTCACTATATATTGCATATATGAAAACAAATATTTATCTTAAGAATGCATAAAGCAATATATTAAATTTATATAAATTTCTAAAATTGAATTTTAAAAACTTTGCATGTAAATTTAAATTTTTATCTGATGACTATCTAAATAATATAAATTTGAAACTCGACATTTATGTTTATATATATTTTGTATTAAACATAATGTATTAAATGTATCAATGTATTAAACATAAATATATATTAAACATAAATGAAGTTGTTATAATTAATAATTTTTGTGCATATAAATATCATAAAAATTATGTTTACAGAAATTTATATCTATAATAATATAAAATAATAATATAAATACATATAATAATAAATATCATATATTATTATATATAAATGTACAAATATGTATTTGACTATTAGTGAATTTTTATTACTCTTGTTATATTATTACTGAAAAGTTCAATCGAAACATTTTAGATTTTCTTATAAAAATAAAAATTAATAATATTCATGATACTAATAATATTCTTATTATTTAATATTAATATAAAATTAAAAAAGAAAATATTTAAAGCTTATTTATGCCAATTAAATAATTATTAAGAAATAAAAATTAAATTTTTATTATAAATTTTCTATTTAATTCTTCATATAATATATATATGAATGCTACGAATCCATAACGAAATGTTTCATTCATTGTAACAAACTGATTTCAACAGTAAATACGAACAAAAATCCGCAAAGAAAAAAAATATAGCGAACAAACAGATAACTATAATCAGAGAAGCATTCCACTTTTCTTACGCATCATCATGTAGTATATGTATAACAAACTACATACTTACTAAGCTTTTGATCATTTGAAATGAACGTGAGAAACACTGACGTAGTATATATGAAGACGTATCATCTTTATGTTGTGTTTGTTTTGAAAGCAATCGCAACTCGCAACTAATAGACGAATGACGAAGTGATGAATATTAAATTCCTCGCGAAAGAAATAGTTCAACATTGCCTGTGTATTTAAAAAGACTAAACCGATATTCTCATCATGTATATTTTGGTTGGTGAACGAGTTCGATTGTGACAAAAACAGCAAACGAGCTCTTGTGTTAGTCCTTGGTTTAGTGGCCCTGGGCAAGTTAACATAGCGAACCGAGTTTTATTAAAATAGTGTATTTGTATATGAGATGAAAATGGTATTAAGTGCAGTATGCGTAAATTTATTAATCAATATTTTGAACTCGATACTTTTACTCATTCCATGTTGTGCGAACTTTTATTTTATGATTTCATACAATTTAATTACATACAAACCACACAACTGTTTTTTTCGAGTTACGTAATACGTTTTATAAAATTGTATTTTTATCGATACCTAACCTCTTTTTAAGAAATATCATCATTAGTAAAACAGAATTAGATTCTAATGAATGATTAAAACTTGTTGATTTCTATCCCATCCATGAATCAAAAGAAGTAATAGTCATGAAAACATCTATATAGAAGTACGAATAGTGATTGTTTGACGATTGTTATATCTCCTTTAAACGGTAAACATCTTTTAAATGAGTAAAACTCTTTAAGAATATTTCTTTCTGTGATTTAAACAACAATAACAGTCATTTTGAGATATACAGAAAATGGATTTTACAGAAAAAACATAACTATGTGCTTAAATTAATTATGAATAAGAAAGTGATTTTACGAAAAAAAAGAACATAAAACAAAGACAAATAAACTAAAAAAAGTATTGCGATGTGCGCGTGGTATAGATAATAGTCAAATGATATTGAAGAATATTTAGAGGAAAAAACTATTAAATAGAAACAAACATCAATTTTAACCGATTGTATGCATTGCATGTACAATGTGTCAATGTGTTAAGTGTGTGTTTAAGGTTAAATCATTCGTGATGAACCACGTGCGGATATATATTTATATGGCGCGAATTTCAAACATGGTGAGTACATAAATAGAAATTTATAGAAATATTTGATTAATATATTTTCACTTTTATTATTTCAAATTAATTAGAAGAATATTCAAAATGTATACATTTATATTCTCTCTATATTTATCGTATGTATTTATTTTCAATATTTTTATGATATTTAAATTTATATAATTATATAAAAATTATTACTGAATATTAATTAGTATATTAATATTATTAATATATTTAATATGAATCAATGAATTAAAGAAATAAAAAATACATGAATGACATATTTATCGTTTTACCGTAAAAGCAATGTGAAATTAAAGAATCCGTGTATACATTTACATAGCTTATGTGGGATTCAAATATCTATAGTCCTTTATGTCTCGACTTGGCATTTGAATACGGGTTGACTTAAAAAGTACAAAGAAGCAGGATTTACGAGATGTGACACGATCAGAAACATTATACATACTGGGATATGAACAGGCCCGTATGAAATCTCATCGGTTTAGAATTACATTAAATTATTTCAAAAATTATTATTTAAAAAATTTCCCCAAAATAAATATACAATATTATAAAATAAATAAATAAA